TCGGAATAGTCCGGAACGTTGTACAGCGAACAATTAATAAGAACTGCCATACTGTTGACGCAAGTTTGAAAATCGAGACTACAGGTTTCGTTTAGATTTACCACTGCACATTCCGAAAAGCTATAATCCTCACAATCTTCATTATAACAAGCCAACAGTGAGGCTGATGTCCCCCGCCGAAATCCCAAAATAAATAGATGACACATATTAATTAATCGCACATCTATTTTTTTCAAAAGTATCGATCAATCAAACTGATTATCAACTATACACTAAGTTTCATCACTTTGTCCCAAAGCATCGACCAAGGAAATTGCTTATCTCTGCTTAGCTTTAGCTAGATATGTTAATCATTGACCTCAGTCAAGACGAACATCTACATCAAGTTTAAACATTCTACCTCAGAGTTGTTATGTTCCAAAGTCTTGACCAATCAAAATGCTTATTGCTCCTTAGCCTAAGCAGACAATTCTCATCATCGAACTTAGTCAAGGTATTGATGTAATGAAACTATACACTAAGTTTCATCACTCTCACTTAATTAAAACTAAAGTTATCGTGTCCCAAAGCATCACCAATCAAATTCCTCATCTTCGCACCCTATCAAGGCATTGACCTCATAAACACTTACACCAAGTTTGAACATTCTAGCTCAATTAGAATGAGAGTTATTGTGTTCCAAAGTCTCGGCCAATCAAATTGCTTATCGCTCTGCTTACCCTGAGCAGAAAATGCTTAATATCAAACTTAGTCAAGGTATTGATGTAATGAAACTATACACCAAGTTTCATCACTCTCACTTAATTGGAACTAAAAATCATAATCTAGACTCTGATACATTTTAAACAATTATCCAAGAATTCCATCCACCAATCTATTTGTGCTTCATGTTCCCTGGCGCCGACTCAACCTAACATAAAATTGAAGATTTATTTCGCACAGAATATTATGTTAGTTGATACGGTAGATCTACTACTAGATCTAACAATGTAGCATTAGAAAAAAAAAGAAACAAAAATAACAAAAAAAACCCTACCTACTGACCCTACCCTATTTTCCATCTGTTAAAGGAAACAGAACCCTTTTTGGCGCTATTGCACTTTCGTACCTCTACCAGTTCCCGTGGTCGTAGGAACTTGAAATTATTAGAGGATGTTAAGGGGGACTAGCAATGACCACACACCAAATTTCGGCCGAATCGATCAATAACATTTTTATTTTACCGACCTTTTAATTTCTAACGAGAGAGAACTTCATCTGTTTGACGCCATTTGCTTTGTTTACTATTTAGACTCGAATAACAAGACACTAAGACGGAAACCGACACACTGCACTAGCTGCCTATCTCTGCAGTTCATAAAAATTAATATAATTTTCGTATACTTTAATTTTTGCGCGAAGCCACCATGTTCTATAAAATACTATTTGGTGTTGATCAGTGGATTGGCCTTTAGGTGTGAATATTGCCGTGACCTTGATTTTGACCTTGAGTCTTAACTTCCCATCCATATCAGGGCCTTTGCGTTTATGATTGCCGTGGCCTTATTTCTTACTGTATTTTCAAAGTTAATGTTCGAGGTGAAAGCAGAGACGACGTCCTTCAGAAAAGATAATTGGGTCAAAGTCGTAGGTCAAGGTCATGTTACAGAAAACTAAACTCAAACTTTTCAAAGTCATTTTTTGGACATTTGACCTTGACTTACGACCTTGACCCCGTAACCGTTTTCGAAGGCTATCACCTTGGCTTGAATCATGGACGTTTACCTTGGTTCTGTCACACAGTGCTCGGTCAGAAAAGGGTCAAACGGAGAGGGGCCCGTGTCCGAAAGGAAGTCAATGGGCGTGGTCAATGTGAAAGGTCGTGGTGACCTCCACTAGTCACCGTTAACCATCCGTGACCTTGACCCTGACCTAGTGTCCGAACTTCCCATCCATCTCGGGCCCTTTGCGTTTATGCGTGCCTTGACCTTATTTCTTACTGTATTATCAAAGTTAATGTTCGAGGTGAAAGCAGAGACGGGGTCATTCAGAAAAGATAATTGGGTCAAAGTCGTAGGTCAAGGTCATGTTACAGAAAACTAAACTCAAACTTTTCAAAGTCATTTTTGGGACAGGGCCAGGGTAAACGTCGATGGTTCAAGCCAAGATGATGGGCTTTGAAAATGGTTACGGGTCAAGCTCGTAAGTCAAGGTCAAATGTCCCAAAACTGACCTTGAAAAGTTTGAGTTCAGTTTTCTATAACATGACCTTGACCTACGACTTTGACCCAATTATCTTTTCTGAGGGACGTTGTCTTTGCTTTCACCTCAAGCATTAACTTTGATAATACAGTAAGAAATAGGGTCACGGCAAGCATAAACGAAAAGGGCCCGAGATTGATGGGAAGTTTGGACTCAAGGTCGAAGTCAAGGTCACGGATGGTTAAAGGTGACTAGTGGAGGTCACCAGGAACTTTCACATTGACCACGCCCTTTGACTTCCTTTCGGACACGGGCCCCTCTGCGTTTGACCGTTTTCTGACCGAGCAGTGTGCGACAGGGCCAGGGTAAACGTCGATGGTTCAAGCCAAGATTATGGGCTTTGAAAATGGTTATGGGATCAAGGTCGTAAGTCAAGGTAAAATGTCCCAAAACTGACTTTGAAAAGTTTGAGTTCAGTTTTCTGTAACATGACCTTGACCTACGACTTTGACCCATTTATCTTTTCTGAAGGACGTTGTCTCTGCTTTCACCTCAAGCATTAACTTTGATAATACAGTAAGAAATAGGGTCACGGCAAGCATAAACGAAAAGGGCCCGAGATGGATGGGAAGTTTGGACTCAAGGTCGAAGTCGAGGACACGGATGGTTAAAGGTGACTAGTGGAGGTCACCACGAACTTTCACATTGACCACGCCCTTTGACTTCCTTTCGGGCATGGGCCCCTATGCGTTTGACCGTTTTCTGACCGAGCAGTGTGCGACAGGACCAAGGTAAACGCCCATGATTCAAGCCAAGTTGATAGCCTTCGAAAATGGTTACGGGGTCAAGGTTGTAAGTCAAGGTCAAATGTCCCAAACTGACTTTGAAAAGTTTGAGTTTAGTTTTCTGTAACATGACCTTGACCTACGACTTTGACCTTTTTAACTTTTCTGAAGGACGTCGTCTCTGCTTTCACCTCAAGCATTAACTTTGATAATACAGTAAGAAATAGGGTCACGGCAAGCATAAATGAAAAGGGCCCGAGATGGATGGGAAGTTTGGACTCAAGGTCAAAGTCAAGGTCACGGATGATTAAAGGTGACTAGTGGAGGTCACCACAACCTTTCACATTGACCACGCCCATTGACTTCCTTTCGGACACGGGCCCTTTGCGTTTGACCCTTTTCTGACCGAACAGTGTGCGACAGGAGCAAAGTAAACGTCGATGGTTCAAGCCAAGGTGATAGCCTTCGAAAATGGTTACGAGGTCAAGGCCTTAAGTCAAGGTCAAATGTCCCAAAACTGACTTTGAAAAGTCCGAGTTTAGTTTTCTGTAAGATGACCTTGACCTACGACTTTGACCCAATTATCTTTTCTGGAGGACGTCGTCTCTGCTTTCACCTCGAACATTAACTTTGATAATACAGTTAGAAATAAGGCCACGGGCAAGCATAAAAGCAAAGGGCCCGAGATGGATGGGACGTTCGGCCTCAAGGTCAAAATCAAGGTCACGGCAATATTTACACCTAAAGGCCAATCCACTGATCAACACCAAATAGTATTTTATAGAAAATGGTGGCTTCGTGCAAAAATTAAAGTATACGAAAATTATATTAATTTTTATGAACTGCAGTGTTAGGCAGCTAGTGCAGTGTGTCGGTTTCCGTCTAAGTGTCTTGTTATTCGAGTCGGTTTCCGTCTTAGTGTCTTGTTATTCAAGTCTAATTAGTAAACAAAGCAAATGGCGTCAAACGGATGAAGTTCTCTCTCGTTAGAAATTAAAAGGTCGGTAAAATAAAAAGTTATTTATCGATTTGGCTGAAATTTGGTGTGTGGTCATTGCTAGCCCCCCTTAACATCCTCTGAAAATTTCAAGTGCCTATGACCACGGGAACTGGTAGAGGTACGAAAGTGCAATAGCGCCCCCTTTTTTGGGGGGGTAATCAACTCTCTTGACAATCAGATAGCCTAGACTTAAATGGATTAGAACACCCATGAGATTTAACAATAAAAAGAAAAATTTGATAATCAAAGTCAAGTAACGTTGCTCCAATAATAAACAATCTACACTATATCTTCAAACACTCCTAATTTTGCTCAGAATAAAGTTATTTGAATTAAACTTTCAATATATTCATTTTGCATTATCTATTTTGAACTATTATACCAAAAACAGCCAGCTCTTTATCTAAATCTTACATAATGCATCTATAACTTTCATCTTAATTGGACAAAAATTGTGGCCTCTGGAGGGCCGACAACCTTGGAAAATGACATGCTTTGCCACTATTTGCATAAATGGGGGGGGGGGGCATTTCATAGGAAGTTTCAGCCCAATTTTGACCAAATTTGAACTCATCAGCATTTGATGTCTTATGAACATGTATATAAACAGTATCTAAAATCCACAGGCTAAAAACATATTTTTTCATACAAGAAGACGCAATAATCCATGATGTTACATTCCGATAATCAAACACTTCCAAGAACTTTGGAACATTTTTAATATACAATAATTAAGAGAATACAATATCAGAGATAGATTGCCAGGTAATGAAACATATGCCCAGAGCAGCTAAGTCGTCAGAAATACAGCACATACTGTGACTGTAGCAATAAAACCCTGCTAATTTTATCCCAACTGGTCAATAACTTCACAAATTGTTAATGGACAGACCTGACTGATATATGGACAGAGGTGATGACAATATACAAGTCACTTTTAGAGTGGGCTTATTACAATTAATACATGTATCTTTATACATTTTCTTTAAGTTTTGATGATAGGCTATTCTTTTAAAATATTTCATGCCACCTACCATATAAGTTGTTCCACTATCGGTACCAGCATCCCAAGGATAAAGATCTATCTCCATGTGATCAGCCCAAGTACAGTTCTTCATGCATATTTCCAAAGCACTCACACCTACAAAAACAAGCCAACAGTGAGGCTGATGTCCCCCATCTTGACCCCAAATTAAATCAATGACATATTAATTAATTGTATATCTATCTTTACTATTAGACCGGAGGCTCAGTGGGGGGGGGGGGGCATCAAATGGGCACAAAACCAGACCTAACTTTGGTGTAGAATATGATGCCTAGTGGTAATCAGTCTGCCGTTGGGGTGTTTTCGAGTCAAAGGTTAAATGAGGTCATTTGCACTGAAAGTGAATGCACAACCATTATTGTATCATGAAAACATGCTGAAAATGATCGAAAGTAATCACAATAACCAGCGGCTACCAGTCAGGATACACCCACATTTTGCAAGAGATGGATAGAGAACAAGCTAAAAACAAACATGATTTTTTGTACAATCAGGGGCAATAATCCAGAAAGTTATGCTCTGAAATGCGCATATAGGATATAAAGAAATTTTTTAAGTTTCATCAAAATCAGATAAATATTGTGACCTCTAGAGGGTCCACAACCTTCGTATTACATTCTTTTAAACAATTTGAGTACAAAGAGCTGCCATTTTATTGGGCAGTTTCATTTCACTTTTCCCGAAATTCGAATTCAATGCACAAGATCAAAATACGATTTTTGGAAAAATCAGGGGCCGTAATCCAGGAAGTTACGTTCGGATATGCCCGATTATCAAAAGGAACCAAGATCTTAGTGTGTAACGGTGATATATTCACACTTTTTTTTTTTTATATCGGATAAAAATTGTGACCTCTAAAGGGATTATCGTAGCATCTCGATCTGTAATGCCTCTCCATGAAAACTTCCAAATGTTTCTATACACTGATCGGCTCCTAAATACAGATGGGAATAAGCTGGTCTGATTCCAAAAATATTTTTGACCAAACTAACCTATTTGGCACAAGGAACGTTGGTAGAAAAGGTGATACTCAGAGGGTGACTGGGCACGCAGACCCACTAATCCTACGCTTTTTGTATAGTCATCTTGCAGATCGTGTGATTACGACTTAATGTCAATGGATCATCTACAATTCCCCCGTCCTTAAAACCTGTTACAAGAGCGAACATGTACATCCCTCAGAAACACTTTAAATTTTCAAGCCACGAGCGACTAACAATTTGTGATCACAGACTTAGCTGATATGGTTCTCTACCACGCAGAACATTTCCAGCCACGAGAACGTACTGAAGATGCTACTGCAGACCTTCCGCAGCTGTTGGTAGCGTAGTTATCTGAAATTTGCTTACTCGGAATCGTGTATCATATCATATTCATAAAAGACGATTTATTCTGTGTAAATTGCATTGGACATTCATGAAACTTTTCCCTGGTCTAACACATAGGCTTTAGATCATAAAGTTTGTCAATGAGTTAAGTGGTGTGACAGCATGCCGGTGACATGATGTGGTGTTGTTTGTCCAGCCTTATGGATTTTCTCTGTTCACACAAGAATATTATTAAAGTAAAATTGTACCACACAAAGTTCCAAAATAACCAAGTTTGTGTCGAATGGACCTTAAACCCCATTTCTCTCTCTTAAGTCAAAATCTCCCTTGCTAACGACTGAATGGAATATATTAACTTTGTGATGATGTCCATAGATATGCATCACTGTATATTATGTTAGTCCCAAAATGACCTAGTTTACTTTTTACTTTGTTCCTTTCATGTCTAAATCACCCTTGCTAACGACTAAATGGAATATATTAAAATTGTAAAGATGTCCATACATATATATACTTCATCTGGGGTATTGATAAATGGGAAATTTTATCCTAATTTTTGGTGTTTTTAATTTATTTCTCCTGTTTTTATTATGCCTGTTCCGGTCATTTTTATTTTGTTAGCAGGAAGGTTGTTAGTTGTGGGTAACATTCAACTTTGATCCTATAGTTCGATCCCTAATGTAAATCCATCAGTTTTTCGGGTAGAAATCGAGGAACAAGCTTTATTTTGTAGATTTTGGTGTTTAATGACAAAAAACCAATGTTGACATTTTTTTCTGAGTAGGTCTTAATGGGAGGGTATTTTCTGAGGGCAGCCATTTTGTGATAATATTGCAACTTAATTTTTTACTTTCACCTTATTTATAATGTTATCGACATATCAACTGTGATTTGGCAATGTTTTAATATTGACAGGGGTCATGACTATATTTCAGTTTTTTTTCCATCACTTTATGAAGTTATGTCCAAGATGGCGACCTTATGTGGTGGGAAAATCGCACCATGTGCTGATTTCGATTAAGTAGTAGTGTTTGGTGTCAATATATATGTTTTCGGGGTCACAGATTCCATTCCTGACATTTACAACCTTGTAAAATGATCACATTTTTACATACTTAGCATATTTCCAAGATGGCGACCATTTTTGATGGGAAAATGGGCCGATGTGCAGATTTTGATTAAGTAGTAGTGTTTGGTGTCAATATATATGTTTTCAGGGGCGCAGAATCCATTTCTGATAATTACAACATTGTAAAATGAGCATATGTTCACATATTTATCATATTAACAATATTGCTGCCACTTGTGGCGGGAAAATCGGACGAAATGCTGATTTCGATTAAGTAGTTGTCTTTGGTGTCAATATATATGTTTTTGGGGCGCAGATTTGATTTCTGCCATATACAACTGCGTAAAATGACGTATGTTCATCAATTTCGCATATTTCCAAGATGGCAGAACATTTTCTAAAAACATTATCATCATTTTTATACTTTTCGTTGTTATTGACAGGTTTCCGAGTCAAATTCTGCTACATAGACTAATAGCTTGTAGCACATTCCTGAAAGCCGGTACCGTGTCGTACCCATTTGGTATATTATCCAATGATGAAAATTCCTCATCCGAGATGACCACTGAGCGGAAATCGATTTTCCTATTCACTCGGTCTCCTGGCAGGAAGGCAAAGAGAGCGTAACGGCAGCGTGGGGCTTGCGCCATTAAGCGTGGCAAGAAATTGACATGCGCCCATTCCTATATAGACGTAAAAGCAGGCATGCGGCAAGGAGCTTCGTTTCAGCCTGGTGGCAACGTGGTTAAAGGTGGTGGGGGCGTGGCTGTAAGTGAAATACACGCTAAGAAGCCCTCGTGACATATATCAAGTTATCAACTGACTTCCAAGCTGAATGTGGAATGCTGTTGAGTTGGAAACGTAAAGTACAAATGTATGTTACCACTTACACAACAACGTGGCCGGCCACTTTGACATCATGGCCACCAGTTCTTTCAATGGTGATGGCAGAGATGGCATAAATGACTTGCACGTCGTAGTTTGAGTGGTGATATAGTTTGTTTTTCCAATGTGACAGCATTCCTTCGAACGACTCCTTCCACACGCAGCTCGGGGCCAGTTGATAATATAATCTATGCCACAAAGGTTTCTTATAGCAAGTATTACTATTTCATTTGCAGTCCTTGTTTTTATTTCTTTGTATACCGATTTATAATATATTTTTCTGTTCTACTTTTTAATTTATTAATTACCTTTTCAATAGTTTCACATTTTTAACCATCGTTAATTTTGTATCTATAACTAACAGACAACATAAACTGAAAGTCTCAATGAAGCCACCAAGTTTTAAAATCAGATTGGAGTCCAACTACTAAAACGCAATCAACCAAATAAATGTGCTATTTTCCTGGTACTGGCTTTCAGGAACATGCTACAAGCTTATACATATCAGAAATGGATTCAGAAAGCTTTTCAGTAATGTGTTTAGAAAATGTCCTGCCACAAAAGGTGGCGGCCATCTTAGAAATACGCTGAATGGACGAACATACCATCACTTCACGCAGTTGTAAATGGCAGAAATCGAACTGCTGTTGAAAACATATATTGCACAAAAACCTGACTACTTAATCAAAATCAGCACATCGTCCCATTTTCCCACCACAAATGGCAGCCATATTGAAAATATTCTAAATATGAGATCATTTTACACAGTTGTATATGGCAGAAATGGAATCTGCACCCCGAAAACGTATCCTGATACCGACGACTAGTTAGTCAATATTAGTGCATCGTCCCTTTTTCCCGCCAAAAATGGCCGTCATCTTGGAAATATGCAAATGGGTAAACTTGTGATCATTTTACACAGTTGTAACTGGCAGAAATGGAATCTATGCCCCTGAAATGAAATGGGGTTTAACGTCCAACTGTTCTGCTCCTATACTGGGCTAATGAAGACGGGCATACGCATACAGTTAGAGTGGTTCGTGCAAATAACAAAAATCAAATAAACGAACTATATTTGGGGCTTATTTTAACAAATATGATAAGACTTACCATTAAAATCATCATTCATTAACAATTAAACTATTGCTAAGTTGGATATTTGTGTGATTTGGCCATTTGATTGGGACTTTCTAATTATATGGAAAAGTTGATCACCCAAGTAGCGTTAAAGCGGTAGATTTTTTCACATCAAAGTTTCAAATTTTGTTCTGGAAACGCATTCTTATTTTCCGCAGTCGGCTTTTTTACGTAGTACATTTAACGATTGAATTTAACATTTGTACGCGTGCCAGCCCTTAGAGAGAGAGAGAGAGAGAGAGAGAGAGAGAGAGATGTCTGTATTTCGACCTGATTTTTTTAACGTTTACATGCAATAGACTATAGTTGAAACTTTCTAATAAGGGGTGAATTTCGTGGTTTACAAACGCAGTACGTAGAGAGTGCTTACCGTGCTCATATTGTAGATGTTAAATATCCTTTATGATAATCCTATTTTGTTTCAAATAATTATCACAAAAATAAAAATCATACACATCAAAATCAGAGGAGCACACGACATGCGCAAAGAAAAAAAGCCTTAAGCATTTTCAAATCGGTTGGCAGCAGTGGTCCAAATGTCTAGCATTGCATCCGGAATTCCGTATAAGAATCTACTTAGAAGTCAAAAACGCGATTCCTACACATTGTGCTCTAAACCGTGTTATAAATTATAGAATAAACCGTAAATCAATTGAACCCATTTCAAGGTGGAACTG